GTCATACTTTTAAAGTAATGTCATAATTGTTGGATCTTATTTCATAAGTCATCATTTTGAGAGACATCGTCATTATGCTTAGTCATGTTTGGAGACAGTATTTCACAATGAGATGCAAGGTCAAAAATATAAACTCAGTCATCATTTGAATGAGCATTTCATATGGGGTCATATTGAATAAGTCATAACTATAACAATACAATTTCATAATTACAAGATGATTATGAGATGCAGTTATAAGGATATATTACCTCAAATTTCTACAATCCTATTCTACATATAGCAGTTAAGACTGTCACTTAAATTTGAATTATTAGAAATTATGTCATATCATAGATGTTGAGTCATAATTTTAAAATAATATCTCATAATTGTTAGATTTTACTTAGTGGTGGAAATTGGCTTTTACAGTTTACCTTCCATTTTTTGTATTAAGCTTAAAAAACTGTAAATGTGATATATTGTTTACATTTAACAACACTGATTATTTATATGGTCTGTGTGTTCATGATGTGATAATAAAGAAGAAACCAGTAAATAAAGTTGTTTCATGTTGTTTTTATTGCACTACAACATTTTTTTGTGTTTTTTAAGTGCTCTGTGCCTGAGGCCACCTTGATATTATACATAAGCAGAGGTTTGCTTTTCTTTCCAAAAACAAAAAATAAAATGTAGCTTTTCATTCGAGTTCACTAATTTATTATTATTATTATTATTATTATTATTATTATTATTATTATTACAAATTATATAATTCACCTTTATATTTTGTCATATATTCACCACAGAATTCAAAGCAAACCAGTAGACTGACCAATGTGACAGTGTTCAGGGGTCGGGTTTCATTTTGTGGTGGAGGCAGGATGAATGCCACGACCCTCCACACAGCTTATAAATAGAACCTGGTAGCTTTGAAGGATATAGTATAAGATGAGACACAATCACAGCAGAGCTTTAACACTAATTGTAACACACAAGATGTTACTGACTGATACTTCAGCACCACCTGAAATTACAAAGACTCCTCTGCAAGTGAACCACTTTAAAGGGCCTGTGACATCAAATTTTTGTAATAAACAAGAATGCATTTTTGTAAAGATGACATTGATAACATATTGCAAACCAAATTTCACACAGCTGAGATGAACAGTTGTTGAAGTATTTGCACGTGAAGTAACAGGAAGTGATGTCAAAGGGGAATGTCTGTGTGTGAACAGAGCGTTGGTATGATGAACACAGACTGTAGAATCTGACGTTTCTTTAGATTATTGAGTCATTATCAGCGAGAGATGAAAAAGAGTCAGAATTCAAATAATATTATTTCAATAAACAAAGACCAGGGACTTCCCTTTCTTAAAGAGTTCCCCTTTGATGTCACTTCCTGTTTCACATTGACTGAGCCAAGTTCAAAAGAAAATATGCCAGTTATGTGACAAAATGGGTCAAATCATGTAATAAGCAAAGTTTCTTAAATATAAAAATATTTTTTTTGTTTTTGTATTTTAAAAATAAGCATGTCACGAGCACTTTAACTAATTATATTAACTTTCAATGCTGCTTTCATAATGTGCATTCAATTTATAATATCACCCTCTTTGTTTTGTGGAAAATACAAACGACAGGATTTCTGGCTGTGCTTCAAAAAAGGCTGATTTGGCCAAAAATTACATTTCCATCACAAAGACATTTAAATATAAAGCTATAATATTTACTATAAATACGAGAATTAAACAGACACAGACATTTTAGGTGCTTTGTAAAACAAGCTTCATTAGGTCATTGCTCCAAGTGTTTTGTCAATTAGTTCACAGTATTTAGAACACCGCAAGCATTTACAAAAATAAAACCCAAACAATAGTTTCAAATAAAGTATGCACAACAACACGCTGTTAGTAAATTACATGAAATTAACAAACGAAGGGTAAAATCTCTGGTCTGTTCTGAAGGCACCACCTTAAACACCACTCTCATGTTTTGAGTTTAAAAAATACCCTATGTGAAATTAGATGATTCCTTTTTTTTTTCTTTATTTTTTTTTGGAGAAAGTAATATTTAAAATTATTGCAAATTGTTTTGATCCACTCATGAAAATGGAAGACAGGTTTTACAGAAACAGGAGCAAAACCACCCCCCAATATTTGCAAATGTTTTAAAAACCTTACTGTAAAATAGATCACCTGAAAGAAAACAGCTTTTTCAACACAAAAGTTACGATTAAATGAAGAAACTTTTACAGCTCAAAATGTTTTCTCTATAGAAAAAAACATACAACATACAGTACATTATATATGAAGAAACTGTTTAAAACCGCTGCTCGTTTTCAACAGTTTCTCCTTTTTACTGCAGTTCAGCTTCACTCAGGTTGTTTGCTCAGCATCCCATGAAGAGCACAATCCATACTTACCATTAAAAAATGAAGAAAAAACAACAACTCTGCACCATGGTGAAAATACATTCCTGAGTGCATTATTATTCACTTCAAATAGAGGTCAAACATACAAAGGTGCAGTTGTAGGTTGTAGCCACCACGTGGAGCCACTGCAGCGTTGGAGCCAGATGAGTGTGCTGTGGTAGTGATGGGCCAGATGTGAGACTTAAAAACAAAACAGGTTTCCAGTGATCCTGAAAGACTGCCAGGGCCAATCAGACAACTAGGTCAGAGCAGTGACCAAACTCCCGCAGTTTCTCCTCTTTCTTTGTTTCAGATCTGCACAGGATTATCTGTCTAAAATCTTCTTAACACTCACATTTTTAACTCTTGACTTGCTTTTCCTCCTCGTTCCATTGAAAATGATGTCCTTTCCATCCTTTAAACCCCTTTTATGTATCTTAGTTGTTACATTTGATTCCCCATTTAAAGTGAACTCCGACTAGTTGTAACATTAGTCATTATTTGGTAATTTAAGATAAAAATAAGATTGTAAAAATACTGTTTTGTTTTTAGGTAATTAAAAAAATGTTATTTACACCACAAAGCATTCTGGGTAAATGATGACTCTTACAAGATACTCTAATGCAGTGGTTCCCAAACTTTTTGTCTTCTGACCCACAAAATATCCATGGCAAAAACTTGTGACCCCAAATATTACTGGTTTGAGTACAAGAACTTCGTTAATAACCCTAAAAACACAGGCTTTTTGACAATCTAAMCAGCTTRTACACAAATATAAATACTTMTTTTTACTTATTTTGTGTTTTGTAATAATTATAGGGAAAATATTACATCAGCAATTATTTTATTACCCTTTAAATTGATTTCTGGAGATTATCCAAGGTGCTTCATGACSCATAATTKGGTCCCAAGCCCAACTTTGGGAACCAAAGTGCAGTGGTTCCCAAACTTTTCAGCTTTTGACCCACAAAATAACAGTAGCAGAGACCTGAGCCCCCAACTATTTTTGGATGATAAACATTTGTATCAGGTCAACTAAACATGGGCACGGTAACAATATTTTTATACTAAATTTATCCATTTTAAATATACTAACCTCAATCGTTTGTAACAACTAAGGCAAAAATGTAATTAATTCAGAAATTCTTTTCAGGACCCCACCTTGATCTTTCGGGACCCCACTTTGGGTCACGACCCCAACTTTGGGAAACACTGTTCTAATGTGAGCTTCAGTGTTAATTTTGGACAATGTCTGAAGTTTAGTTTTGACAGATGAGAATATAATTCAGCCTGCAATGGAGGACAACAGAGCTGCTTCATGGAAGAAGAACCTCCGCTTTAGCCTTTTAGCTTCACGTTAGCGTCCAAGCTGAAATTAGCTCAGTGGTTAAAGGCACATGTAATATACTGTATATATGGCATTAGCTCCCAGACTAATAATATTAGCTCAGAAGTTAACACCAAACATAGTATATTAGTAACATATGACCAGTGGTGGGCACTAATTTAAAAATTAGTTCCACTAGCCCTAAAACACTGACTCAAATATTTAGATCCCCTAATTCTAAAGCACTAACGCACTAAAAGTTTTAGCCAAAGCTAATTCTAAAGCACTAAAATAACCCAGTCAACCCATGAACATTCTTCAACAGACAACACGTCACATGTTGCTCTCTTAATACTTATCATTGACATTCCACAGCTGTATTTGGGTTCAAATATTGTTAATATGTCACCTCTACAACAGTGTATTAGAGACACTTTGCAGATGAAAAAAGGAGGAGCAAATCATCAAGAAAAAACCCCAGAATTTCTGAAATTTCAGAAATTTTCGAGAAAAAACAAGGCAATTATCTTATGTTGAAAAGTCTTTAAAAAAATTAAAATGCATTAAAAATGCTGAAATTACCATATCTACTGAAGCTTCACATATCTGTTTCAAAAATCACACACTTGGTTTTAAATATTCTACAATCAGTGTAGAATAATTTAGTCCAGGTTTGAAGTCTCTGTGTTTTAGTTTTTAAAGAGCAAACGAAAGATGGAAGTGAAAACAGGTGAAATCGCCTTTTAGCCATTCCTGAAAACTTCAGTTTTTTTTCTCATAAATTTACGAGGTTTTTTCTTGTAAATTTCTGACTTAAACATGTCAGAAACTATTTAGTTTAAATGTCGCAAATTTCTGCCTTTAATTATAAATTATGAGTTTCTGAGTTTTTTTTCTCCCAAATTTGCGACTTTTCAACATAAGAGAATTTCCTGTTTTTTTCTTGAAAATTTCTGAAATTCATCTAAAAAATTCTGAGTTTTTACTCGGACATTTGCTCCTCCTTTTTTTCTTCTGCAAAGTGGCCCTAATACGCCGTTGTACACCTTATGGATAAGTGATACACATATGAAGAATATGTGTGACAGCTTTCACCATCAGCTGCTAACAATGTTTGATCAATAACATTTATAGACCTCAGTTAGTGCTTCTAAATTTAGCCTATAAATTTAGCAAGTGCTAATCCACTAATAAATTTTAAAATTAGCAAAAGCCCTGAAGCACTAATCAGGAAATTAGTTCCCCTATTAGTGCTTTAGTGCTTTAAGGGAACTGTGCCCACCACTGACTAATGATATCACCCTATTAGCTCCTGAGCTAACAGCTAGGAAGCTAACACCATAGCAATATGGTGACAGCTTGCAGAGCTAATTTACTGAACATTAAGTTTAATTGTTTCAACCCATATATTGTGCAAAACCTAGAAAAAATATACATCTCCTGTCACACATTATAACTTTTTAACCTTGACTCTTTGTGTTTTAGTCTCAACAGGAATCATTCGTCATCATCATTCCCAAAATGCAATGCGTCAGTAACAAAATGGCAATGAAAAATATAAAAAATTTACAATTTTAAAGGAATTTGATGTTTTAACATGCCACAAACAAGAACTTTTAACATATTAAGGCCAACGTGTTCAAGTAGTCAGAGCTCCCTTTAAAACCTTCCATTCTTTGCGCTCAGTTAAAGTGAGGATGTTCAGCCGGGGATGGTCTTTGACTCTCAGACTCTTGATCCGGCTCATCTTCTGGGGAGATGAGCTGCAAGGCCACTTCGTTCTCGTAACAAAACGAGGAGCGTGAGCTTTCGACAAAACTCTGCTCAGCCAAATCTTTAGCGCTGCATAATGGTGTGTTCGGGATTTCATATGTTCGATGGAAAAAGGAGTAGTCCACCTGGAAAAGAAGGGGCAATTTTTTATTACACTATACTGTGAATCTCTACTATTGTGGATTAATAGTTGTACTGAAGACAAACATGTAAGGGGATTGAATAATTTGTACATATAACTAAACATTTATTCGTCTTTAACTCCTTTCTGACCTGGTAGCCGTCTCTTCTCTCAAAAAGCACAGGTTCAAAGCGGTGCCCCCAGAGGATTTCAGATGCCAGATACGAACTACGGCACTGCGTCGTCATTGCCGTGGCCTCCACCATACCCTCGAGTATGACCACGACCTCCAGCTCGGGGTCTTTCTCTAAGGTCTTCTTGTCCATTTCGAAAAAAGGTGACTCCTCGTTGATTTCGTGGACAATCGTCACAGGAGAGACCAAAAAGATGCGGTCAGTTCCAGTGTCAAAACCCACGTTGATGTCCGTGTTGTCAAGCGGCAAGTACTCTCCTTCTGATGTCACCCTCGGCTAGAAGCACACAGAGAATAAAACAAACACTCTTATGCACAGTCTTGCATTCAGAGTTCAATTTGCGACTGAACTTCAGTTAATATTATGTAAAAATTTAGCTCAAATATGTAAAATTGACTGAGTTCGATTAGCTGCAGCAGCCATCTTGAATTAGATTGACTTCAAATGTTTAATTATAAATGGCCACCCAGTGATGAATGTTTCAGTGTGGTTGACACAATATTTTGAGGACTGACAAATACACACACACAAATTATATTTCTATACTTCTTAAGGCCGGTCATTTTTGTGGCCTGACCCTTACCCTAAGCCTAACCCTCAACCCAAAAATGGAGTTCCACCATATTAGGACTGGTCTTTGGTCTCCAACATGAGTGCTAGACCTGACAAGGTTCTGAATACAAGAAACGATCCTAAGAAGGCAATAAAAATATGGAACACACAGACGCAGGCAAAAACATTATTAGCCACCGTTTTCCTTTTAGTGAAGCATTGTAATACCTTTCTTGTCCCTTCTTGAGTTTAGCTTTTGGTAATTTGTAAGACTTAATTTGAAAGTCTTTAGTCACGCTGTCAATGAACAGGCCTATCACTCGTATTCTGCGGAACGAGATTTAAAATCGTATTATTTGATCCTTGCAAACCTAATCCTAACTGCCCTGTTGTACTTTTAAGACAGGGGTGTGCAATCTTGGTCCTTGAGAGCCGTTACGCTACATGTTTTCCTAGTTTCCTGACTCTGTTACACAAGGTTCCACGACTGAATTACCTCTTCAAGTTCTGCAGAAGCTTGTTAATCATCCATGTATTCAAATGAGGCGTGCTGAAGCAGAGAAACCTTCCAAAACATGCAGGATTGCGGCCCTCGAGGACCAGGACTGGATGCACCTTGACGTGGTGTGTTGTCAGTGTGATGGAAAAATAACTTATCTATCTCCTGTTTGTGACTTTATTGTTTTATGACTTCATTATCTTCTGTTCTCCCTGATATAAGATGTTTTATCATCAGGACAGGATGTGGTGGAGATAATCACCCCTACAGGGACAAGTTGTCAAAATGTTCTCTTTTTGCCTGTTTAGACAAACATGCAATATTGGGTATAAAGGGGAGGCTTCAAACTAGTTCTTTGCATAACTAGTTTAGCACAGAACTGTTTCAGACCTGTGTTAAACTTTTGTGCCTTGCTGCTGCAACAAAACTCAGACGACCATTCTACGAAGTGCCTTTTTGTTTTATGATCACATATTTCTGTCTTTGGTAAATGAAGATTTCAGATTTTGTCCCTCTGGGGGATATGCACTCAACCAAAACAAGAGGTTAAACATATTTATGCACAAAATCAATTACCCAACCAATACTGACATGACCTACAAAAGAAAATGAGGAGATAGAGACGACAATGGTTCTCAGTTTAAGAACTGTGCAAGTTAATCCATGGAAAATCTTCCAAGCCCCTGAAGAAAAATAAAATAAGCTCTCATTAAGTGAAGTTGACAGAAAACAGGCCAGATGGTCTTAAGCCCTCGCCGTCTTTCTCTCTTAGTCCTGCGACCTTTTTCTCTTTACTAATCTCCCCCTTTGGCAGCCGTTTTATTTTGGCGCACCATTCAAACTGACCTCTTTTTGTTTTTCATTACACTTTCATACATCTTTGCCCCACTTACCTTCAGTAGCTGTGCTCGGACGTGTGCCTCTACCAGGTGGCTTTTCCGTAGGTTTCCGACCCTCCACATCATGCAGAGTTTTCCGTCTCTCAGCGCCACCACAGCGGTGTCGGAGAACACCAGAGTCTCGTTGCGTTTCTTGGGCTTGGCGATCTTTGCCATGACCGCCCCGATGATGAAGGCGTCAATAATGCAGCCCACAATGCACTGCAAAACGACCGCCAACACCGCCAGGGGACATTCTTCGGTCACGCTCCTGAATCCGTAACCGATGGATGTCTGCGTTTCTAACGAAAACAGGAAGGCAGCCATGAAGCTGTTCACCTGGAGAAAGCAGGGCTCCTCAACCACAGTGTCTCTATCAGACTTTCCTTCAGAGCCGGCTTCTCCCGATCCGGAGCTGGGGGGAAGCTGAATGGAGAGGTCCCCATGCGCGGAGGCAATTAGCCAGAAGATGAAGCCGAATAGCAACCAGGAGAGAATGAAGGAGAGGGTGAAGATGACCAGCATCCAACGCCAGCGTATGTCTACACAGGTGGTGAAAAGGTCGCTGAGGTACCGCTGGCCCCTCTCGCTTATGTTGACAAAGGTGACGTTGCAGCGTCCGTCCTTGTCCACAAAGCGTTGTCGGGGCCAGCGACTCGAGCGTTTGTTTCGCCGGCGGCTGGCAGTGGAGGGGGAAGAGACCGAATCCTGGTCTGATGAAGAGCAGCCTTCCTCTCTTCCTCCTACGCTACTGCCTTTTGCCTTCCTTGGCTTTGGGCACATTCGTCCCGCTCTCACTGCACCTTCTGCTCCAGCGTCTCTCCTGGCTGGCTCGCCAACGGCGCTCTGCCTCCGCACATTCCTGGTGTTGCTCTCAAGTTGTAGAGCTTTGCCGTTGAGGGCGTGAGCCGGAGAGGAGCTGGTCGGGCTCCCTGACTCCGTTGGGCTTTCTCCTGCTTTTGCCGTGTCTGCAGCACTCTGCGCCAGCCTCATGACTTCTTCCTCCTCCACCGGCCCATCCACCACAGCACTGAAGCGACGTTTGACACGTGCAGCTCCCATTATTTGGGACCAAATCTTTGTGGCTTGAAGATAAAAAGAGGTTTCTTGATGCAGTCAGTGAAGTTATGTGTATTTACTGCAACAGTCCTGTTCTCTTCTAATCAGAAGATAAATGCGGGTCCAACACCCTCAGACGGTCACTTACTTCAGTGTCCGAAACTTGGAATTTTGTTTCCCATTACAGTCTGTTTGTTTAGATATATATCCATCAGGAACACAGGCCCCTTATGTCAGTCAAGGTGTATTTATTATGACCGACGTTCAGTCCTACTTCCCGAAGAAAAGCAAGTGAGAGGAGCTGAAAAGAAGGGAGTCATGAACAGCCCCCAACGGTTTGATTGTGTGATCGATCCGGTGAAAAAAGTGACTTAACAAACATGACAAAAGCATGCAGGACTGGTTGTGTTCAGCTTAAAGCAACAAAAGGAAAACCTCAAGGTTTCGAGCACAAACTCATTACGCAGTCAAGTGGGACAACATCTTAAGAACATCCGGCTCTTTACAGCGTACAGTTCACAACACCGTGTGCAACATAAGGTGCAAAATAAAGGTTCAAGGCAGACAAAAACAAAGTTCGATTTCAAAATAAAACAGACTTTTAACATGCAATCATATAAAAAACGTGCAAATATCTTACGTTCAAAGCTCTTTCAAACCCTTGAAAGATTTACAAATCCTTGAAATGAGCATGAAGAAACAAAGAAAAGAGTAAAATGAAATGTCAACTCTATTTAACAAACAAAAGTGAGCAAATATGTTCATGTACAGATTCAAAAGCAAAAGTTATTAAGAAGTTTCACATAAACTATTAATTTTTATGGATTATAACTCTCCTGTCTTTACAATTCAAAGTAAGGTCACTTCTGTCTCAAACACTCAATTGAAAGAACCATTTTCAAATAGTTTCTTAATCATGTCACCGCTTTAACAATTTCACATTTTCTCTCTAAGTGTCTGCAAATCATTTTGACGGCCATTATGAAATGCTTCTCGGTGCTGACTGCTGAATGGAAGATATTTATTTGAATATTTACCTACTTTTGACAAGTGCCGGCACTTCTGAGCTGATAAACCTCATTACATGTCAGCTGAAAAGTCATTTAACACCTGACAAAAGGTAACAACAGGAAAAAGATTACTTGAGAGACTAAACTTTTTAGATAATTGATGATAATCTCTGTGAAAGTAAATGGCAACAATGCACCTTCGTAAATATGCTGCCTTTGCTGGAGTTCAGGAGCGAGATCGTGTATGCTGAAAGAGAAAAGCAAGAAGTGCTGAAAAAATGACTACCTCTATTGATTTAAACCCCTAAATCAGCAACTTTTATTAAACAAAATTATATATAAAAAAGCTATTTCAGAAAATCTGACTAAAAAATTCAAATGCTGTGTGAAAATAACATAAAACGTATACAAATATAACTTTTTAAAGCTTTAGAATGAATGTTTAAATAAATAAGTGAATATGTCTGAGATCTATGGTTGCTGTGTTAATATTTACCTTGCCCATCTGTTTCTAAAAATGAACCTGGATTATGCAACAACAAATCATTAAAGACATAAGATCAGAAACGGTCCCTGGAACAAACTGCACTGATCCAAGTCCAAAAAGAACACAAAGCAACACAAATCAGCAGCTGCTGTAGCTCCGAAATGACAGAAAAGTGTTCTTCATTGATAAAAGATGAGAGGAAACAAAACTACAACAAATAAAAATGTGGGAAGAGATCCCTCCTAAAGTGAGAGGTGACGTAAGGGTTCATCTTCATGTGTGTGGGGACCTCCTCATCTGAACCACGTCCAGTAAAAACTGTGAGCTGCTCGGGTGCTGAAGGAAAGAATCACACAACAGGACAACGACAGAGTCTGTTGGGTGTCCTGGTTTATTCACAGGTCACTGTCTGAGTTTTGTCTTTGGATCTTCGGGCCTCAAGTTCTGAAGGGCTTGAAAAGAAATTTGAACAAAAAAGCAAAAATGTAAGAAAATATCAGAAAAAATAAAATCACAAAAAGAAAGCAAGTAGAACAAATTTACTTCGTAAAGGGAACTCTGACAAGTTCAAACATCAGATATTATTTGAGAAACATTTACTTCAAATAACCAGACTGTAAAAATACCGCAGATTGTTTCATTTCTATAAATTGAAAAAAAAAGTATTGTCACACAGACAGCGCCATATTATTTACGCCACAAAGCATTCTGGGTAGATTCTCGAGTGCGAGGCTGCGAGCGAGCTCTTTCCAAATTGAAGATTAATTTGTCATGTCTGATGTTCAGCCCTTTTAAAGTAAACCAGAGCGCACTGACAGAGAGGAGAAGGTAGAAATGACTCAGCCTGAAATGGAAATGGTGATGGAGGACAACAGAGCTGCTTCATGGAAGAACAACCTCAGTTTTAGCCTTTTATATTTCACACTAGCTGCTGAGTTAATTCATATACTATAAACGGTGATATAACTGTCATGATCGGTGTTTTTGTTTTCATTTTCTAGTGTTTTTCTGTTCCCCTGTGTTTCTCTTCCCTGCTGTCTTGCCTCCAGCTCCGCCCACGCTCACCTGTTTCCTCTTGTGTTTCCCCAGGTGTTTCCCATTGTCCCTTAATTTGTTTGCTTTATATTCTGAGTCTTGTCTTCTGTCTTGATCGGATCAATGTTCAATCTGTCCTGACTTTGTCCTGCCTCCGTGTTACTTGTTTCCTGGACTTCTATGTGAGTTTTTGTGCTGCACTGCCAGCATTTTGTCCTTGTTTTCCATTTTTGAACCTGCCTGCGCCCTGGGTTTTTTGCCTGCACTAAACCTGATAATGTTGGCTCTCGACCTAATAATATTAGCTCACGAACTATCGCCACATATTTATTAGTAACGCATCTATATATCACTAATAAACATGTGGTAGTTCCTGTTTTAACTTTCATTAGCTCAGGCACTGGTGCCTTAACTTATATGGCAATGGGTGAATATTTTTATTTTTTATATTTTGTATTTTTTTTAACTTTTTATTGTTTCTTATTGTTGTTTTGTTTGCTATGGACCAATCAAGTCTGATTGATTGATTGATTGATTGAACAAACACTAAAACTAAATGGCACTGTCTGTGTCACTATATGTTCTTCAAAAATTATGAAATCTAACTGTCTGGTTTATATAGTTAAAGTAAATGTTTACTCATGTTTCAGGCGACAGTTCAGACATTTTAAAGTGGGATTCTGTGAGGGTAGTAAACAATTATTATTAGGGATGTCCGATGATATCGGCCTACAGATATTAGCATAAAAATGTAAAATCTCTGTATATCGGTATCGTTTTTTTCTTCTGATAACAAAAGCACAATAAATTAACGCCTGGATTTGACCAAAATGTGTTAATAAATGCTTGTGGTCAAGAGACATTCACCGGTGCGCAGTTGATGACATCATCAAACTGGATTATCTCAGGGTGAGCATGATCCAAACTATTGTTTGAGACAAAATGTTTATAATAAATATGGCATTTTCCCTAATTTCAGTGAAATGGCTTTTCTTTTGTACAGACAATGTTTATCTATGGAATACATTTAGTGTGGTATCACAGTAAAAGCAGATAATGTCCCTGACAGGCGATATGTGATGTCAACTTAATATCGGTTTGCATTATCGGTTAATATCGCAATTGGAAATTAAGCACTGAAAAATATCGGCATATCAAGTATCGCCAAAAAGTCAACATCAAGCATCTCTTATTATCATGTTACCTTTTTTTGATAGTTGTTACCTAATTTAACTCCATCTCAAACATCTTTCCTTAAAAGACCACATACAGAACGGAGCCTTTTCTGGAGGGCCGGACTAATGAACTTCACTCATTTCTGTCAACTATACATATTACAACATGATTTTAATTAGCTTAAAACAGCAGACATTAAAACTATGAAGCACTCACGCTGAGAATTTCTACTTTATACTAATTAGTTTATATTCTTTATCCACTTTTTCCTTTCTGGATCGCAGGGCAGGTGGGGCCTACCCCTGCATTCTGTCCAAGGAACACCCAGGACAGGTTGCAAGTCCATCACAATGATACATAAAAACAGACAAGGCCAACATTCACACTCTCACTCATGACAATTTACAGTTACCAGTTAACCCAACATGCATGTCTTTGGTCTGTGGGAGGAAACCAGAGTGCCTAGAGAACACCCACATGTGCATAGGAGGAACCTGCAAACTGCACCAAGATGGTTGACAACTTTAACTACCATGTGCTTTTTTTACAGCATTTCAAATTTCAGCAACAAAATAACATATATATATATTTTTTTTTTCTTTTTCTTTTCCTCTATTGAAATAAATAAAGTTTTTGTTGGGTTTGAATGGTTTGCTATTTGTTTTCCACAAACTGAGAACACTGTTTGCCAGTGATTTCAGCAAATAAACACTTCAAAGCTTGTATCTCGTTAAAAAGTATCCGTATTTATATTTTTACCATGTGTTGGTAAGTGAATGCACACACACTCAGGACATAAGCGTTGAGCTCGCCTTTAAAACGAAAGTAGGGCTAAAGCCAGTTTCAAAATAAAAGCAGAGGTTTAGAGTTAATGTTTAAAATGCTTCGTATTTGACTTCTGATTCTTTTCTTGACCTTCCCTGGTCAGGATGACGATGGCTAAAAGTGTTTGCATGAATTTAGATCAATTTTCAGACCATTGGATCGTCATTGTTTTTAAGACGCCAGCAATCAAATGTTAACTATTTTGTTTAACCCCACTTAAAAAGATTTGAACAATCACTTTAATTATAAGAGCTTATTGGTGATCAAAAACTTACCAATCATGATTTCTGGTTTCTTACACATAAAGCTTATAATGCTCCCCTGTAGAAAGTCCCAAACTGAAGAATTGTTTTTTGAAACCAATCCTGTGAGTCAAAGAAACTGTGAAAAAAACAGAAGAAAAAAATGTTTTAATGGTTTACATTTTTAATCTTCTGAAACAGCTCCTCCTCCTGTCAAATCAAAACTGAGCATTAGGACATTAAGCATGAACGTAGCCAGGTGGTGACACCTGAGACTGATGAACATGAGGAGAAGGCGTGAAGGCTTACCTGAAGGTATGAATGAGTGAACAAAACGACTCAGGGTGACACTGAGAAACAAGTCAAACTAAACACAAAGTCTCTCCAAATAAAGGCACAAGGACATATAGTAAAAAATAAATAAATAACAACAACAACACAGTAACGACATATAAAACCAGTGGTGGGCCCAGTTACACTAATCCACTAACAGAGGAAGTAGCTTCTTATTGAGCGGATTAGCTTTTTTGTTCATTTTTGAAACTGTTAGCAGACCTATTATTTTCCCCTAATTTTAAGTCCACTAAAAAAATTAATAAGTGTAAATGTTAATTTTTTTTTGCCATTTATCATAAATTAAATCAAGACAATCTCTTCTCACAAGCAGCGCTGGATGTCAGACATCGTGTGTTAGCAAGTAGCATCATTAGCAGCTAAACTTCAACATTCAATAACATTTAACAATATTAAAGTAAAAAAATATAGAAAAAATGACTACGTATAAAATATGGTAGAGAAAATATATGTTACTTGTTGTTTGATTAACTTCAAACGGTATTTATAAAAAAAATACAAACTCGATCAAAAAATACTTTTATTTTGAAATGCGGTAAACCGGAAGTATCACAAGCTAGACTAGTGTTGGACTACTTGAAACCAGTCTTGGTCTTAAGACCGGTCTCAAGACCACTTTTTTATGGTCTTGGTCTTGTCTTGGACTGGACAGCATTTGTACTCGGTCTTGTCTCGGTCTCGGACATTGAGGACTCGGAATTTTATTTCAAGACCAGTCAAGACCACAACTGTGGAAATATCACTAAAACGCCAGATTATTGGCTAATTTATTTGTTAATTTATTTGCTAAATTATTTTTATTTATACAGAGTTGATTTGAGTTAACTTTGTCTGTTTTTGTTGCTTTTACGGTGGATTCCATCAACTCTGTTACATACAGAAGGAAACTTCACCGAAGTGAAACATAAATCTGTGGATCTGTGTTTGATTACTCTGTCTGGCTTTCTCAAGGACCAGGATGTGACACAAAAATCTGAATTATGGAACTGAAAGTGAAAGTAGTCAAACTGAATTTTTAATAAACCAAAATACAGTTTCAATTTAGTAAAATTCATTTTCAAACCAAGGCATTCAATTCCAAATTATGAACATTTACATTCAATCTGAGCAATTCAGATTCAATTCCTGCTGGCACAAGATTTATCCCGTAAAAATCAGTCTATTAGGTTGAAACTTCAACTTAATTTTTTTAGGTAAAGTTTAAAAACAAAAACTCAACAACCCGTTATCACTCAGAGAGCTGTATGTGCTGTGGAAAATGTTCAACTACTACCACATCACGTTTTAATTCAATATATGGCTTTTTGTGATTTGCAATGATGAATAGACTACGGTGCTTATCTCAACTCTGAACGACTCCAATCAGTTTTGTTCAATTTTGTTCAAATCCATACACAGGTGCATGAGATATTTTGCTAACAGATACACAAATACATACACACAGATGTCTGTAGGATTGTGTGCCCTTGATGGTGGCGGGTCGTGACCTTTTGTACCTTGTCTATCCTGACAGGACATTAATGAACACACACTCAGGTCTGCTATCTGCTACTGGTCTGACTTGTTGCTGGACTCCTGTCAAGCACTGGGAAGGTGACGAAGAGTGTGTGTGTGTGTGTGTGTGTGTGTGTGTGTGTGTGTGTGTGTGTGTGTGTGTGTGTGTGTGTGTGTGTTCGTGAACAGGCAGTATGAGAGCAGGTCTTACAGAACAACACCTTATCCAGGCCAAGTGACAAGTGTCTCAAATGACTCCTGATACAAGAACATTCACGAGAGGTTATGTTGGAAAATGTGAAGCGGATCTGCAGTTCTGCTCTGAGCTCCGTCCGGATGACGGAGCTCCTCACCTTATCTGAGCCCGGTTACCCGGGTCAGAATCTATCTGAGCCCAGCCACCCGGGTCAGAATCTACAGGTGAAGGTCGAAACAACGACAGACCAGTAAATGAGATCATTCATGCTTTACGAAGGCTAATGTGCAACTATTAATGGGAAAAAGTTTTTCAATCTAATGCTTTTGGATTTAGGATGTTGTTGTGGGCACCTAAAGATCAACTTTATATCATATTAATCTGTCAGATTATAATGTTTGTTTACACACTACCATAAATAGATAACTTTGTAGTTTTCTGTGTGCACTGCATTGTGGGTAGGATTTAGAGTTTTAACAGTAAAAATAAACCTTTCTGTCCAACCGGCAGTCCATCCATCCATCCATCCATCCATCCATCCATCCATCCATCCATTTGTACATACGTTTGTTCATCCATCCATCCATCCATCCATCCATCCATCTGTACATCCATCTGTACATCCATCTGTACATCCATCCATCCATCCATCCATCCATCCATCCATCTGTACACATACATCCGTCCATCCATCCATTCATCCATCCTTCCATCCATCTGTACATATGTACGTACATACGTCCATCCATCCATCTGTACATACGTACGTACATCCATCCATCCATCCATCTGTACATACGTACGTACATCCATCCATCCATCCATCTGTACAT